ACCTATGAAAATTTAGCTGGGTTAATTAAATAACTGAAGGAGAGAGAAAAGAAGGCCTAACAGGTAGACGCAAATAAAATTTGAATTTCAAATTAGAGATGGTATCTCCTGGTTAAAATTTAATGATGTTATCATTAAAATTTATGAGAGCAATTAAATTGAGTTACAATTCAATACGTATCATTGAAGCAGGGTAACCCAAACCCTAATTAGCTACAGATGAAATTAAACATTTCAGAGCATTATTGACAGTTAAGGATTGAAATCTTAATGATGTTTGTCATTAAAATTATCAGAGCAATTACAATTGAACTGATCAGCAAATATTGTTGCAATATGGAAACAGGAACTGTAATTAATTATTAACTGAAATTAAAATTTCAAATTTGTAATTAATTGTGAAATGCAAAAGGTTTCTTAGAACTTCCGGGTTACGGGTGTCACTATGGCAACGTATCCTGCAATAATTAGCGTGTGCTTACACACAGTCGATGATTATACACAGTTTACGCCCTTCATGTGAAATGGCGGCGCCTTTCACACTGAACAACCAAAAAGCACTATAACACACGTGGATTTGACCACAATTCTTACTTGATCAAGATTTCAGAATTCTCCCAAAAATAAATAGCGTTCGGATACTCTCTGAATCGTTACAGAATACACGACCCGCAAAATGAACCCAGCAGATTGCCTAATTCGTCTCCGACAGGGAGACCTTTCCATAGAGGATTACGTGGCTAAGTTCTGTGAGCTTTTCTACCAGGTAGACTTTAATGAAACCTTCCTAAAAGACATTTTTCGTTTTGGTTTAATTAAGGACATATCAAGTTTAATGTCACGCAATACTCCTCACTGGACTCCTGAAAAATAAATTTTTATTCTCATGCATAAATTAAAATGCTGTTCAATTCATCACGTGGGGGAAACGTCTTTGCAGGTTTTGTTAATAACTTCTATAAAGTTTCTTAATGCAAGTATTGGAAAAGTTATAAGGCAAAGATTAAAATATCATAGGTTCCAATAACACACAGAAAGCATATTATTTGGGAGTATATTGGTCCGATACTTTAAATGATTTTAAATGATTGTCTTTTACAATCGTCATGCAAGGTTCTTGTTTCTTTTGTTGTAAGAAAATAACGCGGGTCCGTTGGGTTTCAGGAAGGGGCAGGAAGCAGATGTTCAATGGGTCATTTGATGGTCATGTATAGATCCCGTGTTTGCAGGCCTGAGGGCATCAGTTAATTTACTCAGCCTTTTCCTGCCGGATATACTAGTTCTATTCATTGGCGATCACAAGACGTCACGAGATATCTATAGGTTATAGTCCTGATACAAAAGATCTCTGTGTTATCTCCTGATTGGATTAGTTTTTCATCACTCCTCGGAGTAGATGATGACAAGACTGACAGGAAGTCGACCCAGAATATTGGAGTCATGTGCTGGGGTAATTAGTTTAGACCTCATGATGGTTGATTCCATGGCATATCAGTGTCTGTTCGTGATCGGAATCCTACAGCATCGATATATATTTGACAGCTTGAAACTTGACAACTTTTTGTCAGCAGTGCCTGAGTACTTAAACATATTCTCACGAGAACGTGTGGCATGAGACATTTTGATCTAGTTCCTTTTTTCCTTATCTGAGAAATTGCTGAAGCATGCTGAAAGTGTTTGGTTTCAGGTTGGTTCCTTCAGGCAGTGTGTTGTGTAATAATTAACAACGAACAGAAAATTACTGACTTTTACCAAAACACATTATTGCACTGGACAGGGAAATCTGAAATGATCTTAGTATCTATATTGATTTTATGATTTAAATATGGTATAAGGATTAAAAGCGTTTTATCATGTTTCAGTGTCCTGAAATAATTCCTTTTTTAATAAACTATAATGGCTTCTTTGAGTTTTTCTTATAATATTACATTCTTTTCCTCAGATAAAAGGAGAAATCCCAAACTTGGCTGCCTGTGATTGAGAAGCATGATATTCCTATTGTGGTTGGAGTTGGTGTTTCGTTGGCATTCATCTTCATTGCCATGGCCTTTTACTCTCTGGTTCAGAAAAAGGACCCTGCAGCTGTACCTACAGGGAGGGCAGGTGATATATAATTTAAATACTAAAATCAAACCTGTGATGAGTTCATAAATAATATGATCAAGTGCATCGAAAAATGTAATATAATTTTTTTTTTTTTTCATAGCTCTGAGGGGAATATGTGGGCCTTGTAGGCATGGGGAATGTCTTGCAATGGAAAGGACATATGATAACAAGTTAGTCTTGTTGAGAGCATAAGTAAATTGTCAACATCGCGTCAACATTGCATTAATTGAATAGTGATTTTGTAACTTTCTTAATGATGGCACATTTTAGGGCATTTGAAGATGATAATTTGATGGCTGTTATTGAGCAAAACCCCAACACATCGGAGACAAGAGCGCTCCCAACAGAAGGCAGCCCATCCATCTTTATGATGGAGCCACCGTCTGATGATTTGGAAGACTGTGTCCAGTCCACCCAGGGCCTGCCAGTTATTGTGGAGACTCACCCAGAGCCTAGAGAAGAGGACCAGGTCTGAAACTTTGTTGTGTTTTTCACCTCTTTAACAAATTTTATTCCAAACATATGAAGGAGAATATCTTAACCTGACACTGAATGCCTCTTATGCTCACCAAGGCTGCCAGGCATGATCAAAAATACAATAAAAAAGTAACAAAAGTCTATAACTGGTTTCTATTTAAATATATAATTTAAAATATAATTTATTTCTGTGTTGGCAAAGCTGAATTTACAGCAGCCATTAGTCCAGTCTTCAGTGTCACATGATTCTTCAGAAATCATTCTAATAGGCATTTCTTATTATCAGTGTGAAAAACAGTTGTGCTGCTTAATATTTTTGTGAAAACCACGATTCATTTGACCGATTCAAGATTCTTAGATGAACAGAAAGTTCAAAAGAGCAGCTTTTATTTGAAATAGAAATCTTTTGTAACATTATTAACATCTTTACTCTCACTTTTGATCAATTTAATGAATCCTTGCTGAATAAAAGTTTTTAAACTGTTTTAAACTTAAGTTATTAATGAACAACAAAGTTATCATATGACCTAAGCGCATGTGTCATATGAACACTTTTATAGCAGCTTTTTGTCTTTTTTTGGAGCTTATCAGCCCCTGGTCACCATTCACTTTCGTTTTATGGAACAAAGCAGCATGATCATTCTTCAAAGTTTATCCTATTCTATAAAATTAATAGATTCACTTTGAAATTACTAGTTTTATTTCTACACATACAGCATTGCAGTCTTTGGGACTCCAGACATAAAGAAAGTACAGTCAGTCTGTGGGTAAATTCACAGCTATAAATAAAGAAGTAACAGTTACTTATTTTCTTTTTAACAATATTCTGTTTTTTTTCATTAATACTGCACAGAAGGCAAGTACGCATATTCAGACGCAGGGAACAATTGCAGGTAACATTTATCATTCATCAAGTTTATAAACACTGTATTTCCTCTAATGCCAAGGAATTTATAATGCTGTATTTAAGAGTAATTAAATGTATATATTAATGTATTTCTGAAAATTATAGTATTCAGCATTTTTAAGCAGTTCAAATAAGAAATGACTTCTACAAACCTAGCCATAGCATTATGTAAAATATTGTTGAAAAAGGTCTCCACAGTAATGAAGAGTAAATGCAAAGGGATAATAGAACTTAAAAGTTGTAAAAAGGTTTTATTTGTGCACCATCTCGACTGTTACTTCCGCTCGTGCCAAAGGTTAAACCACCTTACCATTAGTTATTTCTGTGACTTGTATTGTTGAACATTAATCTTAAGATATTGGGAGTATTGTACTTCATGGGCAACAAACTGTTGTATTTTGCTTTTACATAGAAGTAAAAGTTACCAATAAATACAATTAATAAAACTAAGTCTCGTTGACTTTTTGAAGTCATGTTATAAGAAGCTGAAACACAAGTATCATGCTATTTACATAATTTTATTCAGAACAGATCATAGTGTGATAGATTAATGTGAAGTGTTATTGTCTTAGTTAATGGCTACAAATTAATGTTTTTTATTAAGATTGCTGGAAATGGTAAAGAGCCATTTAACTGTACAATTTAAACATTTTGTTGTAAAATAGATGATTTGCCATTTTATTTATTTTAACCTCTTATGTAAATGATCAGACATGCATTTTTGACAAACTACATCATATTGGAGAAAAGTGTCATAGTAATGGTGCTACAAATGGATATATTTTGCTTGGAAAAACAGGAATATTATGAGGTTACATTCATTCATATCAAAGATCATAAATGAATACAACAGTGAACACTCTGTAACAAAGAAAAAATAACTGGCCATCACAGATCCACAGCTCAAGAAATTACTTATTTCAAGTTGAACAGTGCATTAGAATTTACAGAACAGATATGAGGCAGCAGATACAATTAATTTTTCAGCATCATAAAATGTACGGAATACTATTTTTATTTATTTATTGACAATGAATTAAAGCTAAATGTTTATTTGGCCTGTGATGGACTGGTCATCCGTCCAGGGTGTTTCCATGGGATAGACTACAATGACCTTTCATAGGACAACCAGTTTGGAAAATGGATTGATGGTTGTTTGGCAATATGAATGCCAGTAAACAAAGTAAAAAAATTATTCTATATGACTGGATCATCCTGATGATATAAAGTTACACTATTTTTTAAAGCTTTGATCAAGTAGGTAGCAAGAAATCACCAACCTTTTAGTCAATTCTCTAACTGATCCTTTGTTAAGTTCCACCCTCTTTAGTTATGAGATTACCATAAACAGCATGCTTTTCAGTAAAATATGCTCATAAAGTGGGCAGGAATGTATTGTGGCATTGTATTATAAAAGAACAAAAGCTGGCAGATGGCATTTTTATGGTGGAGCTTAGCAAATGGTCAATTCAATCCATAAAATTCTCATGTATGCTGTAATAAACACTTTCATAATCCAAAAATGTTAATAATATTGAAATACTATGAAAATCCATTCTTCAGTCACCTTGTTACAAATAACTACTCTAATAATTGTCATTACTAATTCATTTCTGATTTACAAGATAATTCGTTTTCATTCACATCTGTAAATAGAAGTCAAATTTTTGATCAGTGATTTAAAACTTCAAAACTTTAAAAGATTCCACAAGTACATTGTGCTAAAGTTCACCGTGAGATGTCCTCTGTTGTTTGTAATCTGATGGAGGAGTATGGAAAGATACATAAGGACACCATTTTGTATTGAGGCAAACCAGTTTCTTCAAAGTAGCAGAGTTTACTATATCAAAACCTGTCTTCCCCCCAAATGTACTGGGCTTCCAGTACTCAGGGGAGCAAATAGGATTTCCCATGAGGCCTTTTAGGGAAAATGGGGCCCCCATTTCCACCATGCTTTCACCAAATATCACACCAGGTCGTGTCTTCTCTAGCAAAAGAGCTGGGTAGAACTCCAGAGCATCAATATGACCATACAGTTTCTCTAGTTCTTTAGCCATCTCTTTTTCTCCTGTAAAACATAAAAACATAAATATTACTGTGGCCTGGTGGGTAGTTCATGTGTTGAGTGATAACCACCCACTCACATTGTGTAAACATGAAGTGTTTAGTTCCACCCAAAAATTAAAATGAGCTGAAAATTTATTTACCCTCAGGACAGTAGATGAGTTTGTTTCTTCATCAGAACAGATTTAGCATTGCTCACCAGTGGATCCTCTCCAGTGAATGGGTGCCGTCAAAATAAGACTTCAAACAGCTGATAAAAACATCACAAAAATCCACAAGCTATCTACTTAACTCTAGTCCATCAATTAATGTCTTGTGAAGAGAAATGCTGTGTATTTGTAAGAAATAGGGGTGGAAAGGTTCTCGGTAAAAAATCGAACCGTATGGTTCTCCACTCTGTTCGGCACGCACTTGCACCGCAGTTCAACTTAAAAATGACAACGCATCTGTAAAATGGTTTGTTAAAAATAACAACACATAAAACAGTTCAGTTAATGTATGTTTCTGTCGATGGCTATGCATTCTGGCTTCCCAATACATAACAACAGTTCAATGTGAGTGCCGTATGCTGGAATATGACCAGTCATTGATGCCGTCATCACCCGGGTGTTGATAGCGCACGCACGCACGCACGCACGCATGTGAGACCTGAACAGCACACTTTAAACTAAACTCATTTAAGCCTTGCCGTTTAAATATTAAAGAGCCAGAAGACGCGAATGAGAACTCGCACGAGCCATTAGAAGATGTGTGTGCACACTCATCCGAACTCCGAAGTGCCCACGTCTCAACGTCTCACGTCGTTGACAGCAATATTACAGCAGTACAGCAGGCCAAAAGGTATCACGTTGGACACAGCTGCCATCAGACCTAACAGACTCTGAAACTGTTTGACAGTGAGTGACTGGCCTTCTCTTACTCTCCTTACGGCTGTGAGAATCGATTCGATACGAGCAGGAGACAGACGTGCCTGCATCGCCATCGAGTCCCACACCACACCTAGATAAGTGGTTCTCTGTAGTGGAGAAAGCACACTTTTCTTGGCATTTAGCCTTAACCCCAGCTCTTTCATATGGGCGAGGACGACATCTCGATGCCGAGCAACCAACTGCTCCAATTGAGCTAGTATCAACCAATCGTCGAAGTAGTTGAGTATGCAGATGCCCTGGAGTCGCAGTGGAGCCAGAGCAGCATCCACACACTTGGCGAAAGTACGAGGTGAGAGTGACAGGCCAAAGGGAAGAACCTGAGGAACTTCCAGTGCTGAGGAAGGATGGATATATGGAAGTATGCGTCCTTGAGATCTATCGTAACAAACCAGTCCTCAGACCTGATTTGAGACACGATCTGTTTGATAGTGAGCATCTTGAACCGAAGGCGTTTGATAGCGCGGTTCAGCAGATGCAGATCTATGATCGGACGCAACCCCCCATCCTTTTTCGGAACGATGAAGTAACAGCTGTAGAACCCGGACTCTCTCGAGAGAGAGAGGAGGAACATGTTCTATGGCCTCCTTCCTTAAGAGAGTTTCTACTTCTTGTTCCAAAAAAACGAGGTGGTTGAGAACCGAATTGAATTCTGTAGTCTGCAGGACCCATTGTGTGACATTTGGCAGAAGTTTCCACGCTGCCAGAAAGTCTACTAAGGGAACCAGCCTCTCGAGGCTGGCCTCTGGTGTGGCTAGAGGAGTTACTTCGGAGCCCTGAAGCTTGGCCGAGGTCTTCTTAGACAGAATAAAGGTCCGCAGATCCGCTTTCTGTCTGGAAGACCCAGACCGAGAGCGTCGCCCCCACCCCCTACTTTCTGCGGGGGGGTACGAGTTGTGACGCTCTGTTTCTAGGTCTGGCGATATGAGGAGCTAGATGGCTGGGGCTGCTCTCGTTCAGCAGCCCCGTGGACCTGGGAATGACGGGGGAGGAAGTGCTGGAATGCCTCCGTTTGCTTCCTCGCCTCCTTAAACCTATCGACGACATTGTTTACTGTGTCGCCGAAGAGGCCAGAGGGCGAGAGTGGGGTATCCAGGAGGAAGAATCTGTTCTTGTCTTGCATATCGGACAGATTCAACCACAGATGCCTCTCCGTGGCTACCAGTGCTGCCATTGAACGGCCGATTGCTCTGGCCATTTCCTTGGTGGCCCAGAGGGACAAATCTGTGGCCCGACGCAGTCAGTCTAACTGGCCTGGTGGGAAGCTTTGGGGCCTTCAAGGACGATGCTGAAGATGGGGAGAGATAGCTCGCGAGCATCTGCTCCACCGCTGGCATCGCCCCATATCCCTTCTCATTCAACCCCACAATATTAGAAAAGTTTGTGACGGTGGGGCTGAAGAAATGGGACGAGAATGGTTTATCCCACGATCTCGACACCTCAGTGTGGAGATCAGGGAAAAATGGAAGGCCCCGGCATGAAGGCTGCGATCTAGCACGCAAGAAACATTCGTCCAATTTACTCTTGGGATGAACTTCCTTCTCCTCTGCTGGCCAGTCGATGTTTAATTTGGCTACAGCATGAATCACAACTTCCACGAGCTCCTCATACGCAAGGGACTGTGGTGGCGACTGCACAGTCTCCTCTGTGTCGACGCTCATCACATCAACCTCCTCAGAGGAAGATAGATGAAGCATCTGGCTCCCTTTCCGGGGGAAGAAACCACAGCGTGTGCTTCCGAACCCTGAGAGGGAGCAGTGGATCTAGCGGGAGAGGACCGAGATAAGGACGAGCCTGTCTCGGATCCCTCCGCTAAATCAACTTGCGATCCCCATGACAACAGTCTGCACTGTGCCTCGGCAGCAGTGGGACCGGATCAAACGGGATGACCCGTTATCATCGAAGACGGCTCCTCTCGAGAGCTGATCGTGCATGCTCCACTCCCAAACAAACAACACACAGATCGTGTTTATCCCCACCCGCAAGATAGCATTGGGCAGGGAGGAACACATCGTCTGAAGTGCCATTCGCGCGCCACTTTCTTTGATTTTTCTTTACACTTTGACATTGTAACTTGTCTAACAGAGTGTTTTTCTGATTGACTGATGCTTTGCAAACATTCACACACAACACAATGCGCTCGCTGAAGAGCAGAAGCTAACATGCGCTTTGCCGGAAGCGCTTTTATGCTTCCTGGTTGCTCATGTCACCCCGCTCGTGACGTCTCACTTCTCTATTGGACTGATTCCACACGTGCTTCAGAACGCAGAGGCTGCAGTTGGTGCAGTTATAACAACCTGGAGCTCAACACGCTCAAAACAGTGGAGATGATAGTGCACTCCCCCCACTCATCATCATGAATAGCACTGTAGCAGCAGTAGAGTCATTCAGGTTCCTGGGCACCACCATTTCTCAGGACCTGAAGTGGGACAATCACATTGACTCTATTGTAAAAAAAAAAAAAGGCCTAGCAGAGGTTGTACTTCCTTCGCCAGCTGAGGAAGTTCAACCTGCCACAGGAACTGCTCATACAGTTCTACTCGGCCATCATTGAGTCCGTCCTGTGTTCATCTATAACTGTTTGGTTTGGCTTAGCTACCAAATCAGACATCAGGAAACTACAACGGACAGTCAGGACTGCTGAGAGGATTATTGGTGCCCCCCTGCCCACCCTTCAAGAACTTTACACCTCCAGAGTGAGGAAAAGGGCTGGCAAAATCACTATGGACCCCACACACCCAGCACACTCCCTCTTTGAACTGTTGTCCTCTGGCCGGCGCTACAGACAACTGTGCACCAAAATGGCCAGACACAAGAACAGTTTTTTCCCCAGGCCATATCCCACCTGAACAACCGGACCAGAGTCGTGTGGATTACTTGTGAATTCTTGTGATGTTTTTATCAGCTGTTTTGACTCTCATTCTGACGGCACCCATTCACTGCAGAGGATCCAATGATGAGCAATTGATGTAAAGCTAAATTTTTTTTTAAATATGTTGAAATGAAGAAGCAAAATCTACATTTTGGATGGCGTGAGTAAATTTTCAGCAAATTTTAATTTTTGGTATAATCCAAAAATCCAAACTTGACCCTGAATTTTCAGCATGTTCTCATTTATCTTATTACACCATTAAAAATAATGATCAGCTACATTCAGAACCTCATAAAAAAAGACACAGTCAAGAGTGAAATCAAGAAATCACAAGAAGCTCTCTACAGGCATCAATGATGATGATTTGCCTTCCCTTGTGATTTAATTTGAAAATGAAGCTTTAAAAGGGGTAGAACAATACCTGTGAATTCTGAGAAAGACGTGTAGGGTTTCAGATTGAATCTCTTGCGATATTCATTAAAGGGCTGAAGTCGGAGCTCCCTAGATTCAATGATGACCCCCTCAGCTACTTTGCGCACCACTGGGTGAATATTATGACCACCTCCAATCTGTCACAACACAAAGAGATTTATGATTAAAAATACAAAAGAAGCTATCTTTAACCTTAATTACTTACAAAAAAAACATTAATTTAATGCTGTACATTAAAATCAGTAGTGAAATTATATTTTAATCTATTAAAAATAAGTAAACATTTATATTAACTAAAAATATATATAATACCATGTATGTTATGTATATTGTATGTAGGAATTTTGGAATGTGGAATTAAGTGTTGCCCAACATCTGTTCAGGATCTACAGAGCTTTTGTTGATATTCTGCAGACACACATTCAGTGTGATCCTACCTATTAGCCTGATTATGCTATGATGAAAAAGGCTTTCTGTTTATCTAAAAGAAATCAATATCAATCAGATTAAACCTCACACTTTAATTGTAAACACGTCAAATACTTCTACCTAAACTTGTTCACTTCCTCACTCTCATGCTCTCACGATGTACAGTATAAGGTTATTTCATTTTTAGAAAAATAATCCTTGTGAGTACATATGGATAACCACGCAAAATGAACACAACTGTAATCCATACGACCCCAGCTGATTAATCAATTCAGTCTTCTAAAGCCAACGGGTACGTGTGTAAGAGCAAATTACTAATATTTTAAACTTTACAACTATAAACCATCGCTTCAGACTAACTGTCAAAAATGGGGTTATTTCACGCTTGATGTGAACATCAGAACATTGTAAAGTGTAATATAAGCACTTTGTGAAACATGCTTGGAAAGTGAGGTCCTCTGTGTTTCACACTACTTCTCATGCGAGTTTCATGCTTACATCCCAATTCACAACGTACTGACGTTTATGCCAAGTGTGAACAGTTGGCCAAAAACATACGTTACATAGAGTCACAGAAATTGATTTTTTAAAATAAAAATCTCCACAGAAGAAAGTCTTCTACATTTGGGATGGCATGAGGGTGAGTAAATGATGAGAGAATTTTCATTTTTGGTTGGAGTATCTCTTGACCCACTGCAATAAAACACTCACAGACATGTCTGAAACAACGAGGGGGGTAAACTCATTGGAAATGCCCCTTGAAATGACAAAAACAGACCAAGACCTAAGAACCTACTTACATCCCAGACACAGCCTAAGGGTCATTGCACCTCATTATGAAACAGGGTTTCTTTGTTTCTCTTTTGGAACAGATGTTTAAGTCATTAAATTCTCCCCCACAGCCCTCATGGTGCCATTACCTGTCCTGCGGGTTGGGTTGAGAAGGCATCCACCAGCTTCTCCACCCCGTAGTGGGTGAGGATAGAGGTGTTGAACAGGAACTGAGGGTAGTGAATCTCTTCTCCAGCGATGTGGAAGCTGTCAGGCATGAGCGGGTGCCAGTGGTAAAGCTGATTGAACTCCACAGCAATGCGGTTCTGGTACTGGAACGGTGAGGTGAATAGCAGCGCGGGATCAAAGTGGAGCTTCAGCCGGTAACCACTCAGATGTTGCACATAGTCCTCGATCACAATACGAATGGTCTCACCTTGATTTAATTGAGTCAAAATTTGAACATTCAATTTTTTATCGAATTAGTAAATACAAGCATTATGTAAAGTGTTGCACAGTGGAGAACTGTGAGCACTTTTGAAAAACCTACAGTAGATGGATCAGCATGTTTTTCAGTTTTTGAAAAAAATGATCACATAACAGATTTGAATATAATATAATATCATATAATATAATAATCTTCATAAAGGAATAAGGCACCAGGGTTGTAGAAAATTCAGAATTTAGGAATTGACTTTCAATTCAATTTCAATTCAAATAATTTTATGTAATGTTTTTACTAAAAAATATACTTTTAAATACTATTTTATATAATAAAAATTATTATATTTTTTAATTATATATAGATTTTCATTTTTATATAATTCAACATAATATAAACTTATTATATAATGATAATATTATTTTTATAGAAATCATAGACAACTTTAAATATAAAAAAGCAACACTTAGAACAATAAAACTTTTTTGTTTTTAATTAATTGCAATTCTAATTAACTGGAATTTAAATGGCATTCTTATTTAAATTATAAGCAGGGATGGGTAGTATATCAGATACATGTATTTCAAATACGTATTTGAAATTATTATTGAAATTACATTTAGTATTTTAACACCTTTGGGAAAAAATCAAAGGTTATTTGTATTTAAATAAATTTAAGATTAGTATTTTTCTATTTTCACATTTACATAAAATAGTGCTAGTCAACCTCTTTATCAGGGTGCCGATTTTGTGCATCAACTAGTTCAGACATGCCCCCTTCCCCCAACACCAACATGAGCTGCAGCTGTACAGTCATGGCCAAAAGTTTTGGCAGTGACATAAATTTTGTGTTTTGCAAAGTTTGCTGCTTAAGCTGTTGTGGTGTTCATTCACATTGGGCCTCATTTACGAAACGAACGTACGACAGAAAATTGGGTGTACGGTCCTTTCAACGCAAAACTTGGAATTTATCAATATGGACGTGAGTGGTGGCTACGATCAAATATCACGTCTGGTTTTAGCTCGTGTACGCAAGTTTTTGAGTTACCTGAACTTGCGCGCAGCATAGTAAATACAGTGGAGAATTGTAGAATGACAGCATTTTGCTCATTTTTACCCCTCTCTTCCGTGGGGTGACGAGCCGTTCTCATGAGACTGTTTACTTTAGTTTATTATTACATCCAACAACAGAACACCTCAATCGCTTAGGAGCCATTCTTGTCTACTCCTGCTCCAGCGTCAAAACAATGGCGGACTGATGACAGCTCACTCGGCGGGTCTAAGGTAAGACGCCAGTCCAGTCTGTGCTGAAACGCTACTGTCAATCAAACAATCGTGGGACAGCCTGGGACTGTGTGACGTCACACAGACAGGCATCTGAGAATGGCTTGATATGAGAAAGGGGAAATGATTTAATGAGATATAAAAAAACAACACTGGGTGGATCTTTATCATTATAGGGTGGTTGTGTACACACTGCCAACACACATTTCAGTTCCAACAACTTGTAAAAGTGCATGTCGCATCCGATGACCCCTTTAAAGCTTGACCCTGAATTTTCAGCATGTTCTCATTTATCTTATTACACCATTAAAAATAATGATCAGCTACATTCAGAACCTCATAAAAAAAGACACAGTCAAGAGTGAAATCAAGAAATCACAAGAAGCTCTCTACAGGCATCAATGATGATGATTTGCCTTCCCTTGTGATTTAATTTGAAAATGAAGCTTTAAAAGGGGTAGAACAATACCTGTGAATTCTGAGAAAGACGTGTAGGGTTTCAGATTGAATCTCTTGCGATATTCATTAAAGGGCTGAAGTCGGAGCTCCCTAGATTCAATGATGACCCCCTCAGCTACTTTGCGCACCACTGGGTGAATATTATGACCACCTCCAATCTGTCACAACACAAAGAGATTTATGATTAAAAATACAAAAGAAGCTATCTTTAACCTTAATTACTTACAAAAAAAACATTAATTTAATGCTGTACATTAAAATCAGTAGTGAAATTATATTTTAATCTATTAAAAATAAGTAAACATTTATATTAACTAAAAATATATATAATACCATGTATGTTATGTATATTGTATGTAGGAATTTTGGAATGTGGAATTAAGTGTTGCCCAACATCTGTTCAGGATCTACAGAGCTTTTGTTGATATTCTGCAGACACACATTCAGTGTGATCCTACCTATTAGCCTGATTATGCTATGATGAAAAAGGCTTTCTGTTTATCTAAAAGAAATCAATATCAATCAGATTAAACCTCACACTTTAATTGTAAACACGTCAAATACTTCTACCTAAACTTGTTCACTTCCTCACTCTCATGCTCTCACGATGTACAGTATAAGGTTATTTCATTTTTAGAAAAATAATCCTTGTGAGTACATATGGATAACCACGCAAAATGAACACAACTGTAATCCATACGACCCCAGCTGATTAATCAATTCAGTCTTCTAAAGCCAACGGGTACGTGTGTAAGAGCAAATTACTAATATTTTAAACTTTACAACTATAAACCATCGCTTCAGACTAACTGTCAAAAATGGGGTTATTTCACGCTTGATGTGAACATCAGAACATTGTAAAGTGTAATATAAGCACTTTGTGAAACATGCTTGGAAAGTGAGGTCCTCTGTGTTTCACACTACTTCTCATGCGAGTTTCATGCTTACATCCCAATTCACAACGTACTGACGTTTATGCCAAGTGTGAACAGTTGGCCAAAAACATACGTTACATAGAGTCACAGAAATTGATTTTTTAAAATAAAAATCTCCACAGAAGAAAGTCTTCTACATTTGGGATGGCATGAGGGTGAGTAAATGATGAGAGAATTTTCATTTTTGGTTGGAGTATCTCTTGACCCACTGCAATAAAACACTCACAGACATGTCTGAAACAACGAGGGGGGTAAACTCATTGGAAATGCCCCTTGAAATGACAAAAACAGACCAAGACCTAAGAACCTACTTACATCCCAGACACAGCCTAAGGGTCATTGCACCTCATTATGAAACAGGGTTTCTTTGTTTCTCTTTTGGAACAGATGTTTAAGTCATTAAATTCTCCCCCACAGCCCTCATGGTGCCATTACCTGTCCTGCGGGTTGGGTTGAGAAGGCATCCACCAGCTTCTCCACCCCGTAGTGGGTGAGGATAGAGGTGTTGAACAGGAACTGAGGGTAGTGAATCTCTTCTCCAGCGATGTGGAAGCTGTCAGGCATGAGCGGGTGCCAGTGGTAAAGCTGATTGAACTCCACAGCAATGCGGTTCTGGTACTGGAACGGTGAGGTGAATAGCAGCGCGGGATCAAAGTGGAGCTTCAGCCGGTAACCACTCAGATGTTGCACATAGTCCTCGATCACAATACGAATGGTCTCACCTTGATTTAATTGAGTCAAAATTTGAACATTCAATTTTTTATCGAATTAGTAAATACAAGCATTATGTAAAGTGTTGCACAGTGGAGAACTGTGAGCACTTTTGAAAAACCTACAGTAGATGGATCAGCATGTTTTTCAGTTTTTGAAAAAAATGATCACATAACAGATTTGAATATAATATAATATCATATAATATAATAATCTTCATAAAGGAATAAGGCACCAGGGTTGTAGAAAATTCAGAATTTAGGAATTGACTTTCAATTCAATTTCAATTCAAATAATTTTATGTAATGTTTTTACTAAAAAATATACTTTTAAATACTATTTTATATAATAAAAATTATTATATTTTTTAATTATATATAGATTTTCATTTTTATATAATTCAACATAATATAAACTTATTATATAATGATAATATTATTTTTATAGAAATCATAGACAACTTTAAATATAAAAAAGCAACACTTAGAACAATAAAACTTTTTTGTTTTTAATTAATTGCAATTCTAATTAACTGGAATTTAAATGGCATTCTTATTTAAATTATAAGCAGGGATGGGTAGTATATCAGATACATGTATTTCAAATACGTATTTGAAATTATTATTGAAATTACATTTAGTATTTTAACACCTTTGGGAAAAAATCAAAGGTTATTTGTATTTAAATAAATTTAAGATTAGTATTTTTCTATTTTCACATTTACAGTGCTAGTCGCTAGTCAACCTCTTTATCAGGGTGCCGATTTTGTGCATCAACTAGTTCAGACATGCCCCCAACACCAACCACCAACATGAGCTGCAGCTGTACAGTCATGGCCAAAAGTTTTGGCAGTGACATAAATTTTGTGTTTTGCAAAGTTTGCTGCTTAAGCTGTTGTGGTGTTCATTCACATTGGGCCTCATTTACGAAACGAACGTACGACAGAAAATTGGGTGTACGGTCCTTTCAACGCAAAACTTGGAATTTATCAATATGGACGTGAGTGGTGGCTACGATCAAATATCACGTCTGGTTTTAGCTCGTGTACGCAAGTTTTTGAGTTACCTGAACTTGCGCGCAGCATAGTAAATACAGTGGAGAATTGTAGAATGACAGCATTTTGCTCATTTTTAAACTAATTTTTGCTCATAAAGCTCATTAGTCGATCGTTAACCAGTAAGATTAGAATGTCTTTTTTGTTGTTGTGTTGTACAGGGTTTAGCTTTATATGCACGAATAGCAGCGTAAACAAGAACATGAGGATTCAATCGTCGCATCATGCACCTGCAGCGCTTCTGTGAAAGGAGAAAAACAGAAATTAAGTCTATAAAAGGAATACAATAAATAGGATCACACAAAATATATAATAGGCCATAATATAATTAACAGATTAACAAAAGGGAAAAAAAAAACTGTGCAACAAGTAGGCTATAGGCTACGCTCGTTTTTGTGCACTCTTAATGCATTTTATTTCTATTCTTTATATCTTTATTTGATTTAATCAATCTGATTGCACAGGCGCCTCACGCACACACAAACAACATTAGTTCTACCGTTGCCTGACATTTCAGCCATTCATTATCAAACTAAAATGCAGTCAACCAAACATAAAAGTAACACTGTTTATTTTAAAAGGTCTGCTGTAAAATCAGCGTGCAGCGCCCAAACAAATATTTTTGTGCACGTGAAGGATTTTACATGGATATTAGAACATGACTGAAGTATAAAGCCATGTTTAGGCTACATAATGAATAATAGGCTAGTTATGCAAACAAATGTTACAAATATGGCAAAAATATAAACACTTGGATTCTTGTGGTATGAGACAGGCTCGTGAGCCCAATGCCAGTTCAGTTTTGCTTGACATTTGTATGCTGTTTATAATGAATGCCACTATAGCCTAATTTGGGTTTTATTTTATAGTTTAAAATATAATTTTATAACTACTTATTTTTCATTCTTGTTCTGTTCTGAATACCGTTAAATTTAAAATACTTGCTGTAGAGTGAGGGGAACTAAATAGGCTGTTTATATTTACCAGTATTTTAATATACATATAAATTACATATATTAATGTAGCCTAATTGTTCTGAATTACAAGGTTAACGGGTGTTTTTGGAGTAAGATCAATTTCTCTTTTTCACGAGATTACTTCCTCTTTTTGGCCGGGTTTCTTTCTCCGTGTCGTAAACTCTAGGGGCGAGGCTTCTAAACCGGGGTGTTTTTAGGGGAGTGATATTCAAATGACGATTGTTTTCTGACGCCACATTTATCATGCGAACATTCGTACGATGAGATTGGCGGCATACGAATGTTTAATGAATCACATGTGAACTCTGTCAATAAGCTGATTTGTGCGCACGGATCTGCGCTTGTTTCTACGTTAGATTGATAAATAAGACCCATTGTTTCTAGATTATTGTGTAGAGTGATCAGATGCATTTTAAATAATTGCTAAAAGCTTCATTGGCCAAAAAATTAACTTTCATTTTCAAATTTCACTGTTTTTTGACTGACTGATTGCTATAAAAGGAGGGAAGAAGCGCTTCCAATCATTGTGTTCTTGTTAGCAATGGTTACCTCCAAAGAAACACGTGAAGCCATCATCGTGTTGCATCAAAATGGCCTCACATGCAAGGAAATTGCTACAAAGAATATTGCACCTGAAACAACCATTTACTGTATCATCAAGAACATCAAGGAGAGAGGTTCGAGTTCGACTGCAGTGAAGAAGTCTTCAGGACATCCCAGAGTGTCCAGCAAGCGCCAGGACGTCTCCTCCTGAGTCAGCTATAGAATAGTGTCACCAGCAGTGCAGAGCTTGCTCAGGAATGGCAGCAGGTTGGTGTGAGAGCATCTGCACGCACAGTGAGGCCAAGACTTTTGAACAACTGCCTGCTGTCAAGAAGGGCAGCAAAGTCAATTCTCTCCAAGAAAAATGTCAAAGACAGACTGAAATTCTGCAGGAAGTACAAGGATTGGACAGCAGAAGACTGGTGCAAAGTTATTTTCTCTGATGAAGCTCCCTTCCGACTGTTTGGGACATCTGGAAAATCGATTGTTCGGAGAAGAATAAATGAGAGCTACCATGAGTCCTGTGTTGTGCGAACAGTGAAGCATCCTGAGAACATCCATGTGTGGGGTTGCTTTTCAACCAAGGCAGTTGGCTCTTTCATAATTCTGCCCAAAATCACTGCCAGGAATAAAGAATGGTATCAAACGTCCTGCAAGAGGACTTCTTCCAACGATCCATGAGCAATTTAGTGATGATCCGTGAGCCCACAAATTGTGATCAACTCTGAGAACTAATAAGGCAAAAATGGATCGCCATCAGTCAGGATTCGGCCCAGAAGCTAATATCCAGCATGCCAGAGCGAATTGCAGCGGTTATAAAGAACAAGGGTCAACACTGTAGATATTGACTCATTTTTTATATTTATTTATTTTTCCAATAAAAGCCTTTAAAACTTCTGATATGCTTATCATTGTTTTTCAGTATACCATAGAAACATGTGGAAAAATAATCTACAAATACTGAAGCAGCAAA